TCTTCAAGAACTGCTACTTCTTTTGTAAATGTGTAGTTCATATAAACAGAGCTGTCGAACACTCCGGCCGATTCGTGACGAAGCCCTGCAGATAAAGGTCGGGATTTGACCTCAGCAACACGTGCGCTGCAGGCGGGCTGACTGACATACGATGTATGTGCATATGTACAATGTACGTGCATGTACATGTACATTGTGGACGTCCTGTGAATGTTTTAAAGCAGAGGTATTGTCAACCTGAAGTTGTAAGCGTGCGCACGGCATGTGCAAGTTCGCTTATTGCCTCGAAACTTTGAAATGTTTTAGACCTACCTGAAATCGACAGATAAAGTAAAAATTAATACAAAAACTGTCATGGTTGATTTTCCAGGAATTTTTGAAGGAAAACAGGTCTTTTGTTTTTAACTTCCGGTATGATGACATCATAATTTTTTTTGTGCACAGGTGTTGCCTACATTGAGGTCATCATATACACCAATTTTGAAGCGATTACCGCAAACTTCGTCACAGACATCGACTAAAAATTCATTTTTACACTTTTTTCAACCTACCCGTAGAGGGCGCTCTAACATGTTAAGACGTCACCGGCGTTTTTTTCATGAAGTTTTTTCTAGCCACAGACTTACATCGTTGCAAGCAAGTTCACATCTTTTTCCAATATTAAATTATAAGGCAATTTGGGTTACTTCCGGTTTAGACCGGAAGGAAGGGTCACGTGATTTTGCTCACACGAGATAAAATGAAAGTCCTGGATTATTCTGTTGAGGCCAATGTTTACGCTATCATTTAATGGGCAATTCAAGATTATATCTGTACGGATTGATTTGTTAGCAATTTTTGAAAAAGGAAAGGTCTTTTCAACGGAACTTCCGGTCTGATGACGTCATACGCCTAAAACTTCGTCTTAAGTGGGTCAAGGTCATCATATACACCAATATTTAGGCGATTCCGACAAACTTCGCCACAGACATCTATTCAAAATACATTTTTGAACATTTTAAACCTGTCGCTAGAGGGCGCTCGAAGATTGCATGACGTCATCGGTAAATGATTTCAAGAATACTATCAGCCAAGAGGCTAACACCGTTGAAAGCAAGTTCATATCTATTACCACTTTTCAATAACAGGCCACTTCCGGTTTTGGCCTTTTTCGACCGGAAGCGAGGGTCACGTGATTTCACGCACACTGAATGAAATAAAGACGTCAACCTACTCTATCACTTGCCGGCAACAGAATGCTGCGGACGCGTACGGTTGATTTCTTATGCATTTTTAAAACAATTTTGTCACAATTCAATTGCCTATAAATAAACACTGGATGACGTCATCATGACGTCATCATTACACAAAGTTGTTTGAATTAGGGTCTTTGCTTGGACAAAGATTGGTGTAAATGAATTACTGGCAAAGAGTCGAAAATGCCCTTTGAAAATCGACAATTTTTTCTTCATTTTTGTGTACAAAGTCTATGGGAAAAATTTAATATTAACAAATCTATAATAAATTAGTCGATGACGTCACCATGACGTCACTCTTCGGGGCACATCTCTGCTATAAGAACTATGACTACGCTTAATTTGAATGATGTATGACAAAGATTAATAACAAAAGTGGCACTGAGAAAAATCGTGTACAAAGTCTAAGGGATTTAGGCGACAAAAAGAAGAAGAAAGAAAACTAGAGATCTATGTCTGTTTGCAACAGAACATAGGGCTTTTCCGCATTATGATTTATTTGATCAATAATACGTCCCTGACTATGCATGAACATAAAATCTGTCAAAGTTAGCCGAAAATCGGCTAAAACGGTCACTGTGGACAGGATTTGACCTCAGCAACATGTGCGCCGCGAGCTGACTGACATACGAGATGTACTACGTACTTGCATGTACATGTACACATTGTGGACGTCCTGTGCATGTTTTAAAGCAGAGGTATTGTCAACCTGAAGTTTTAAGCGTCACGTGATTGCACGCACACTGAATGAAATAAAGACCTCAACCTACTATACCACTTGCCGGCAACAGAATGCTGCGGATGCATACGGTTGATTTCTTATGCATTTTTTAAAATTAAAAGTGTCACAATTCAATTGCCTATAAATAAACACTGGATGACATCATCATGACGTCATCATTACACAAAGTTGTTTGAATTAGGGTCTTTGCTTGGACAAAGATTGGTGTAAATGAATTACTGGCAAAGAGTCGAAAATGCCCTGTGAAAATCAACAATTTTGTTTAAATTTCTGTGTACAAAGTCTATGGAAAAATTAAATATTCAAAATTCTATAATAAATCGCATGATGATGTCAGCATGACGTAATGATTCGGCATACATCTGCAGGTGATGTTCTAAGTATGTGCTAGGTTTGAAGGAATTCGGAATTGTTTTAAGGCCAAAAGTGGCATGTAGAAAAAACGTGTACAAAGTCTATGGGATTTTGTGCAAAAAAGAAGTGGAAGAAGAAGAAGAAAGAAAACCTAGAAATGTGTTTGTGGACAAACACTGGGCTGTTTCGACCATTTTATTAATGACTGCCGTAAAGGAGTTTCATCCAGGTCGAATGGACATGTAAATGCGTATTTTATACAAAAAGTGTCCATCCTATGTTAAAAAAAAACTTTTTCATGACGTCATGATGACGGCACACATTTTTTGAAATTTTCTGTATCTATCTATGACCTAACAAACCTTTCGCAAAAAAGAATTTGAATTAACCTCGTTCCATTGATGAGATATGAGTAAAAGGTCAAACAATTGAATAATTCATATAAAATCACATGATGACATCATCGTGACGTCACTGCAAGCTGGAATATCTGCATACCGACATTGAACCCAATCGGACATCAGGTTCTCTGAGGTGGATCGGACTGTATTTTATATAATTTTTGCAAAATTTGAAGAAAATATTAAAATTTGAAAAATTCATAAAAACTCAGGCGATGACGTCATGATGCATCAATTCAGATTTTGCATGCTTTTATCCAACCTCGTCCCCAATGCTTACTTTGTTTCCAACCACGTTTCCAATAGTAAACCCTGGATAGGAAACTTTCTTCCTGTATCCTGATTGGATACCGCAATTGGCTAGTAATGGATTTTTATCATGTACTTGGTGCTATATATTCACAACGTGCAGTACGCGTTTTCGCGATCATTCGTCCACGCCTTCTCGAAAATACCAATTTGCTCGTATTAATATGAAATATGATACTGCATGTTGTCTCGATAAGATCGTAACAGTTTGATTTCAAAAATCGTGTTTTCGTAACTCACGCCGTGCTCGCGCTGCTACGAATTGACTCTGTTTTTACCCCAGACACCGCATACAAAAACAAACGCTAATGTGTAACGCATATCCAGGCACCAGACTGTTCCTCATTTGCATACGTGTGCAAAAATCTTGCACATGCAAATGATCCAATACCAGGGTGAGAGAGCAGGTAGTGGTGGGCGCATACTGCTCGACACCCTGGGGACGAGGTTGGCTTTTATCTATACCTACCTACTCACCAAGTTTCATAACGATCGGACATACCCTTATATGTGAATCACAAAATCACGTTTTTGATGATGTCATGATGACGTCACACATTTTATGAAATTTTGTGCATCTGTCTTTCACTTGACAAACATGTTACAAAAAGAATTTTAAATTTACCATGCTCCATTCATGAGATTTGAGTAAAAGGTCCAAAAATTGCATAATTTATATAAACTCACATGATGACGTCATCGTGACGTCACTGCAATTTTTGTCTACAACTTGTCCCGGAATACTTGCAAACCAAGTTTGAACCCAATTGGACTTCCGGTTCTGTAGATATAGGGCCTTTTTAAGTATGCACTTTTAGGATGACGTCATGTAACACGTGATGACGTCATGATGACGTCATGACTCAGCATACATCTTCAGATGGTTGTTTAAGTGTGTGCCAGGTTTGAAGTCGATTGGACCGTATTTTATATAATTTTTGCAAAATTTGAAGAAAATATTAAAATTTGAAAAATTCATAAAAAATCAGATGATGACGTCATGATGACGTCACTTCAGATTTGGAATGCTGTTATCTATACCTAACTACCCACCAAGTTTCATAACGATCGGACATACCCTTATATGTGAATAAAAAAAAATCACGTTTTTGATGACGTCATGATGACGTCACACATTTTACGAAATTTTGTGCATCTATCTATGACCTAACAAACCTGTTACAAAAAGAATTTCGAATTTACCACATTCCGTTTATGAGATATGAGTAAAAGGTCATAAAATTGAATAATTTATATAAAATCACACGATGACATCATCATGACGTCACTGCAATTTTCGTCTATAACACGTCCCGGAATACTTGCATACCAAGTTTGAACCAAATCGGACTTCCAGTTCTGTAGATATAGGGCCTTAAAGTATGCTCTTTTAGGATGACGTCACGTGACACGTGATGACGTCATAATGACAAAAAGTTGCGGCATACATCTTCAGATGGTGGTCTAAGTGTGTGCCAGGTTTGAAGTCGATCGGATTTGAAAAAAGTCCAAAAGTGACTTGTAGAACGAAAACACGTGTTATCCTATGGGAAAAAAAGAGGAAAAAGAAAAAATGAGAAAAAAAAAGTAACAAAAACAAGAGCTGTTTCGGCGTGTACACCGAAACAGCTAAAAATCAGAACAAAAAGAAAGGCTTTTTCGCAAAAGTTGTGAAAAAGCCAAAAATCAGAACAAAAAGAAAGGCTTTTTTGCAAGAATTGCGAAAAAGCCAAAAAAAAACCACCAAATCAGAACAAAAGAAAGGCTTTTCTGCAAATATGCGGAAAAGCCACCAAAAAAAAAATGAGAACAAAACGAAAGGCTTTTCTGCAACTTTGCGGAAAAGCCAACTAATGGCTCGATCCCTGCAAGACAAAATAATCACAAAATTCCCTCTCTTCCCCCACTTTTTGCCAAAAAACATGAAAAAGAGCTGACACCTACACAGAAAACTCTTACCAGTGACTGAGGTTCCCATTGGCACATTGTCGAGTGCCCCGTGGCTGTTGGCATGAATTAGCAAACAATCTTGGCCACTGTGTCTTGCGAGCTCGATGCTGACCGAGAACTCACCAAGCTCCTTTCCTGTATCGGATGTCGTCACAAGTGCGTCGGTGAAGAGGATGCTTTGGAGATCATCTTGAGCTGCAGGGTAGTAAATAACCAAAAAATGGTAGATAGTATGTGTATAATCTAGGATCGACTTGATCCCATGCTCAAAATTTGCACAGTAATGTGCTATACACGAAAAAAAATCTCATTGTTCACCTTAAAGAAAAACATAAGAAAACAGCGCCCTCTCTTGACCAAAATGTAAAAATATAATAGTGAGCTCAGCGCACTGTGCCTCCAATGTTATTATAGTTAGCACAGATGTTTATTTTCAAAGGGTTTTTATGCCATTCTAATATATTAAGCAGATTTTAATATGCGACAAGTTTGGTTGACTTCTTGGAAATGTGTTATAGAGGCATTATCATCCCCTTTATTTGCACATATCTCCCCTACTTTTTATTTTTCCGACTGTCCTATATTAGGCTCGAGTACACAAACAACATGGAGGTGGATTTGCAAAGGTGTACTAAGTGGTAAATAAAAAGCGGAAAAAAAGAACAAAAAAGAGGCGTTAAGTCATATTGGTGTAAATTTACTGTGTTGGGGGCCAAAATGTCCCCTTTCCCCCTCTAAACTGATAAATCGAGAATATGTTGAGAAATACAGGAATTTTTTTGAAAAAATATGTTTTGCCCCTCTCTAGAAAAACCTGGTGATGCCCATGGTCATGTTGGTTTATATGTAAAATAAAAAAAATTGGATGTGTAGAAATATTTCGATGCAGGAATCCAGGAACCGTAGGAAAGCAAAGGGAAATTTACTGTGTGTTGACGTCAAAGATAAAGTATAAACAAATGATAGTAAGACAAAGACAACATTTTTTTTTTTACCATGACAGCTTCTTGATTTTCTGTGCTGCATGTATCTTTGTTGACAATCACTTTTTTCCGTTGAATAACAAAGAGTAAACAGTTTGGAAATTAATACAATATGCCGAGATAGCCTCAACAAATAAAGTACATAACCAAGTTTGTAATTAATACGATGTGTCTGAAATATCCTCAACGATGCAAGTATGTACACCAGAGTAAATAGAAAAATGTATGTGTCTGAAATATCCTCAACGATGCAAGTATGTACACCAGTTATACAGTGGATTGAAAATTAATTTACATTACAATTTACAAAAATGTATCATGTTCTGGTCTGAATTCTTCTAAGATATGCTGAATGACATTATGTTCAATGCATTTAAGTGAATTAGCTATTAAAGACTCAAGAGGTAGGATCATAATGAATGTCCGGACCTAAGAATGTTGGTGTCACGACAGATACTGCACCAAAAATGAGCCTCATTAAATCTAAAGTGTGTTTATCACTAAACAATTGGGTGATATAATTTTGGGCAATTTTAACTGAAGGTGGCTTTGTGAAACCATTACAAGTTACAGTATAAGTCGGTGTTTACACAGGAGAAATTAGATGCCTTCCTTCAATTAAAAGGAGAAATACTTACCTCAAATCGCAGACCTGAATACATACTGCTGGCATTCAAAAGCTGCTTGAAAAAAAAAATGCCATTCAAAGCACCCGGACATGACCGCAATTAACCTTTTTGTCTTGAAAAGCTGCGCCAGGCAAATCGCACCCACTAAGACAATGCTACTTGGAAGATTGTTCAGTCTCAAAGTTCTCTTCACTCTCATCATCCCCATCTTCTTCATTGTCATCTTCTCCTTCATTTTCTTCAATGCCTTCATCATCGAATGGTAGACTTAAGTTGTCACAGTTCTTGCATGAGCATAGTTCTGTGCAGGAAATACCTAATGACACACAACATTTGTTGCCTGCTTCACTGACTTTGCACTTCGATTTGCTGCATGCACAGTTGGCAAGTTCGAGGACACTTTGTTGAGCCGAGTCCATATCCATCCAGTCTATGCCAAGGTCATCATCTACCATCTTCCACCCATGTCCGACAGGACAGGGAATGTCGGGGTGTTGTACAAGGCTGCGCTTATAGGTGGCTGCTTGGAAGTTCGCTCGCTTGGTGTGTTTATGCAAGGCATCCCGATTAGGTGGCATGACATTTTCCGCCTTGGTAGCCATGGAAAACATAGCATACCTTGCTTCGTTGACGTGGCTGTAATCATGCTGAGCGTACAGCTTGCACACAAATACTTCTAGTGCAGTTACCATATCTTCTGACACCATGAAAGACTCTCCGAGGGATTGAAATGGAGTACATGATGTTGGGTTTTCCACCAGCAGTTTAATGGCTCTCATCTTCCCCTTGCTGTAAAAGGCGCTGACAGAATCACAGCCAGTGAAGCAATGGAGACCAATGAGTGCATCAGAGAGAGGATCTCCAAGGTGCTTCCTTATAGCTTGTAGATTGATGGTGCGGACATTTTCATCTTTACCGGTATGGAAATATATGTTGGAACTGATATGATTTGAGGATAGGGCAACACCAATTATAAACATCGGTGTCTGGACTCTTGATGACTATGTCGCTGTCGGAGGACTTGGCAATGTAGCTGGCATACAAAAACATTCGAGTATCAGCTTCTTTGTGTGAACAGTGTAGCTCAGTGACCTCTTTTACATGTACACTTCCATTGTTGGGTGAGATAGAATGGCAGAGTTCGCCATGGGCTACAACTAGTGCTACCCCTTTCAAGCTTGTTACATCGCAGTTACTCCAAGTGCTGAAGAGGAACTCTACCAACTGCTCTTTGTTGAAGCCGTTTGCAAGATACTTTTTCCACTGCTTCGGAATTGGCTGTGAAGGCTTTGAAATCTTGATCTTTTGGGACCCAGTGGCTGCCCTGCGTTTCCTTTCTGCATTTTTGATGCTGATCTTGGGGTATCTGTCTGTGACGAAGTGGACACTGTTGGATTTATGTTTGCACGCCAAGTTCACCAACTGACTAAGAAGCTTCTCAGCAAGTTCGCCCATGCTCACTGGCATGTGTTTGGGGCTCATTTGTTGAAGCATTGCCAATCCGTCAATGATCCACACACTTCCTGGTTTCCCTGACACAATGGGTGTTTCCTTTGGTGCGGATTCCAGGAAGTGCAACAACTTGGCTTTGTTAGTCTTGACTAGACATCCTTCATGTGTAGATAACAACAGTGGCAGTGGGGCTAAGCAGTACAACAACATGTCTTCAAATCAATGTTGCGACTTCTGCCAATGATGACGAGTCTAGCCAGTAGCTCTCTGTCACTCTTACTGATTACATCTTTCCCTTTTACTTTTGCCGTTACAGTTTTAGCCATAGATGTGAATGTCTTCAGCTTCATCCTTTTCAGTGGTTTGTTCAAGTCAGTTTCGCCTCCTTGTAGACGGTCTATGCAAAAGGTCACAAATGCAGTGTTTCCCTTTTCATGAGCTTCTATCATATCAGCACAAACCTCAGGTGAAGCAATGACGCCAGAAGACAAATGGATCACATCATTGGGATCAGTTTCTGGATCATTGTCAAAGGGGTTGATCATACTAGATATGGTAGTCATGATGTTTTGTACATCCTGCTCATCACGGGCCACACGCCTCAGTCTTAGTTAGATCTTTACGAGTTGCAATCTTTTGCCCTTTCCCTGCCATTTCTTCACATTGTCTTGTTATTGCAGCTCTTTCATGGTGTGCTCTTATCCAACGATTGCTTGCCCCTTTGTTGGTGGTGAAACCTTTCATTCCGCCTCTTGTTTTGGAATCTCTGTTGGCTGTCTGTTCAATCGTCATATCGCATGCAACTCGTGAGCAACCATGGACATCTTGCCTTTGAACTGCAAAATTCCCAATCTGGAATTCGTTGAGAACAATCGGATGTGTTTTCTCCAGGTTCTTCATTTCCAGCCAGTAAACAGGTAGATAACGAGAGTAGTTTGTCCTGTCATATGCAAACATCCATGGCACAAGAGCTCGCACAGCTGCGAGGTGGAGTGCCCAGTCTCCATCTCTTGTAGCCCTTACGAAGAGTAGAACACTTTGGACCATTTGGAGATACGAACTCCAAAATGCAAAGGTCACATCTTTACTTTTGGATTTGATGAACTCATCATAAGCCATCATCATCGCCTGGAATGTGGGGCCCTCAACCAGATCTTCATACTCTTGACTCGGAAATGTTGTGTGAAGGTTTTGCACCATTTCACCATACTGTTTTGCTTCCTTCTCAGACATGTCCTCTATGAAACTCTGCCAGCGTAAGCGATGGAGTGCCTCCGCCATGACCTTGTGACAACGGATACTCCTGTTGTATTGGTGGCCATTCATGACTCCGTTCACGGAACCTGGTGCAACAACATCTGATTCTATGAGTATGTCTTGCAGCCCAGCATCACATGGCTGTCATAGTGGTGTGGAAGGCACCAAGGCGGATCACAATTCGGTCCATGAAGAGAGGAGTCTGCCATCTGATGGTTTGTGCTTTGGCGTAAATTGCTTGATCAACTACGACCACCACCGATGGTAGTTCCAACTTATTGGCGATTTCGACACTCTGATGAAGAACTGTATTCACGGTATTTAGGTCTGTCGGACTTGCATCGATCACTGGTAGATATGCAACTGTAGCCTTTGGAGGGAGTTCGTTGCTGAGTAGCTGGTTAAATCCAGTCCAAGCCGGCAGGAGACGGCTTTGGGGGATCTTTGTGAGACAATATGCTGCATCTTTGCGCAGGGGGTGTTCTGTCGATGCTACATGATATTTCTCTTCAAGGGCTACTCCAAAGGCAAATGTAGCTGGAAACGATTTTTTAGCACCACGAAATGCTACTAAATCTACATCTGGTGCTGGCAATGAGCGTTTCCTTGTCCTCGTCATAGACTGCTTTGGCTCAGTTGTGAAAGTCTGTGGTTCTGAATGCTGAATTGCGATACCATTGGTGTTATGGGTGGTTCCCTTACCCGACAGTGTCTCCTCCCCAAAATCGTTATTGTCCCACACCAAGGTAGTGAATGTGCCTTTGACTAAGCACAATGGTAGTGCATTGCTGCCTCTTTGGATTTCCTGCTGGGCCAATGCAGTGTCGTGCTCAAGAACTGATGTGTGGGAGACACAGTGGCCAAGACCATTTAA